AGAACATTAAAAGACATGTCAATACGTAGTTTCAATATTAAACAATAAATCAGATTACAACGAAAGAGGGGGTTTGTGGTTATTATAGTAACCCAATAATTTAGCTCATAAGTCAAATAAAGCAAGACCACCATGGAAAACCTGGAAGCACTGGACGACCGTTTCCTTTTAGTGTGGGACTCTTCAAAAGTGCGCATGACCATGAGTCACTTATCAGTTTAGTGATTAATAAATATTTTTTTGTTTACAATTACAGAATATATGGGCCAAGTCCCATTAATAAAATATACAAACTGACATGTAATTACATTGAATTGACAAACTCATAGTTGTGACAAACAAAACAAAAAAAAATACAGAATTCTACTAAGTCATAAGTTATCCGATTTGTGTGACGGTTGGGATACTGTCCGGGTGTCCAAATCAAAACAGTTGGTTTTCTTAAGGGGTCACATTTGGAGCCTTTGATCTAGGTCTAATCCACAAGTCAGTGGAGCAGCGTCAGGAGATGCAGTCCCATGAAATTAGGTTAACAAATTTTAGGGAAGTGGTGTTCAGTAAAGACAGGCATTAACTAAAAACTCACTGAAAATTTTCCTATGTGTATTATTTATTTACTATGAAAAATCATATTTAGAAAATTTGCCTACTTATTAAATACATAAGTATCTGGAGTCCATACTTGCTCAGCTGGTACACGCAAAGTTCTTACATTCCCGAATTCCGGTTCATTCCATTTTAAATACTCATCTTCCCATATCTATAAGAAAATATAAATCATAATGTTATAGATTAGATCAGTTAACATTCCAAAACATTATACACACTATATGAACTGTGACTATTACAGGCCACGTTCCAGAGATTTTAAAAAGAACATGATATACAACTGCCATCATGGTTTTGTCGACAACCTCTTCCCACCTATCCTGTAAATCCCGTGGTAAACGTGACACAATTATTTCCATATTAGCTGCATAGTTTACATCGGACACACATCCCACTTGTCTCAGTGTTATATGCGTTACGTAACTTGGTTGTGAAGTCAGCCATATCATCTACTGAGCACCAAACAGATTTACGATTGAGTCAATTTACACTTAGTTCACGGGTAATCAGACGTTCCCTTCAAGATACATCATGCAGAATCTATCTCACTCTGTCATAATCCAAACTACAAGGCAAGGAGATTAATAAAATATACGAACTGACATGTGGTTACATTTAATTGACAAACTCAATTGGTGATTATCGGCGAATGACTGCGAACACCACTCTCGATCGCTACACCTTGCCGCACATTCACGACATGAGAGCTACCTTGGATTGGAAACTTTTTTTCAAAATCGATCTGGTTAAAGTGTATAACCGAATTTTATAGCTGCAAACGACACCTTTGTAGCTTCTATCATCATCGCTCTAGTAGAATGGTAAGGTTCCCAGTTCAATCACACGATTACTGCACGTAGGAAGTTGGCAATGCCAAATCTATGAGGAATAGTATGTGCGAATTCAAGTTTGATACATGCAGCAGTTAGTTATGTCCATAACTAACCAATCAAATCGTTGTTTAGGCGACCACCACGTTGATCTGGTCTGATTTGTCTGTAAACTATGCCTGTTGCATGTGACCTACCAATTGAAAGACATTGTTATCCTATTATATTAATGTGACTCATAATTTTATTCATTTCGATAAGACACGCAATATTGGTCAGTATGTTTGTGCGTTCCACTTAATAACTGTAATTTCCCTAATTATTGTACTAATCATAATTGTTTTTACCTTCATGTAGAGATAAAGTTTAAAGCCAAGTTGTCCTTGTTATGACCATAGCTTTCACATAGTTGCTGTGCTCGCCAGTATCGCGTTTACGGTGGTAGTAGTATATCATTAGGACAAATTAGAACCTACAGCAGCTTTTTAGTTGTAAGCATGTTCTAACATCGAATTTTGTATCACTCAAAGATGTTATATCCGAACGAGAAATCAGTGGACGTTAACTGCTAGGATCTATTTATGAACTTTATTATATATATTTATTATATAACTATTAAGTAACTTTGTTATATGTGTATCCTTATTTCCTTTATTATAAGCTTCCACCTGACCTATTGACTACTATTATACATGAAGATGCCACAGATATTCGGAGTTTGACTACGCTTTAACCAGTAACACCTAATATGAATCGTACCCACCAAGTGAAATCAAAAGACAGAAGCGAGGAGGTTCGAAGATATATTTGATAGGCTATCAATATATCGTGGATAGTCTGATCTAATCTGGCTAGTGATTGCGGTAGATGTTGACCACGGCGTTCCCACACGTGATCTGGTGGAGTTGCACGACCGATCGCCTTCAGCTAGATGAGTCCATTAAAACTAATGTGGTCAGCATCCAATGTCGAAAACTTACAGAGCTATTTACTTTGGGGATTTATTTACCGCTGAATACAATTTACTATTCTCACAAACATAGCCACTTTTGGCTTGATCTTGTATAATTGTTATTTTCTACTTTACTGTGTGGTGCGGTCTAATTTGCTTGTATATAAACTGCATAATTCTTGAATATATGATTCATGTAGTGTGAGGTGATAATTAGTATTCTGGTCTCAACAGGCAGGGCTAAGCAAGAAGCACCAATAGGGAATCTAAGCTTCTCGTACCGGTCAACAGGTCATTGGTTTGGCACAGTGCTAAGATTGTATAAGTCGTGTTATGATTGGCAATCTTATCACATGGTACTTATCAGGCCACAAGTCATAGCAAAACAATATTTTATATTTAGTTCTCACATTGTTTTTAATATGCAATAGACCTTAATCAGGAGTTATTACTTACTTATGGTATTTTTTTGAAAGGAAGTGTTACGTTGTATCAAATTGATAGACGTAGCTTAAGAAAGAAAAGACTTCATGAAGAAAACGTATAAGGTCATTTATGATTTTCTTGTTTAATCAGTTACTTTACTCTATTCATTTACAATTCAATAAATGTAATAGATGAGGTTTTTTAAACCACAATTAAGATTTTAAAACAACAAACATTAGTTTATACACATTGAGAAATGTAATCGATATGTGATTATAAATCATAGCAATAATTTTATTTATATTTATTCCAACATATGAACATTGATACAATGAGGCACCAAATACATATGCGCCACATAAATTATTCGATTTTTGTGAGAACCAAGATGCTGCACGGGTGCCCAGACCGAAGTAGGTAGTTTTCTTAGGGAGCAACAATCCGAGCCTTTGACCTAAACGTCCGACCCACAAGGCAGTGGAGCATCGTGAGGATATGCACTCCCATGGTATCCGGGGACCAACGATTGATTCATATGCCATTTTTTCCCTCAGGATACTGGAGCTCATGTGCACCATTGGTTTGGAATCAGGGATTTACAAATCTCCTATGTGAACTCTCCATGTCCACCAACCCAGTTAAAGTGCCGCTTTACGTCCTCTCAATTTCGTAAACAACATTAATACCATGAGAAGGCAGTGAGTAGGACTTGTGTGGCAACAGTTGAATGTATGTGGCCAGTTGAGAGCATTTCTAGAGGTAGAGCTCACTGTCACCAAACTCTGCTGTACCAGAGCATTTAGGGGTATATGAACAACTATGTCAAAAAACATAATCCTTCGGTTATGTTTGACAAACTGTAATCAACACGCAAAATCTAATTAATTGTGCTTTGATCATAATATTTACAGTATAGTTTTACTACATGCTCATTATAAAATTATTGTGTGTATAGTGATCCATCCTACTCATGATTAGTAGGATTCCTATAAATTAAAGTGAAATGAGGCTTCAATAATACCGGATGTATATATATATATATATATATATATATATATATACCCTTACGAAGAAGGATAATTTTACATTGGATTTCAGGAGAACCAGACACCATATAGGCTTCAATGCTACAATCTGAATGGTACGGCTCAATCATGTGACGCAACCACACAGGTACTAAGCACCCTGGTGGACTATTCACACCATTCATATAAACATTCACATCACATGTATAGTTATTTCGATCAATGACCACATGAATCAATTATGCGCACCGCGAACAGGCCAAAGGTTACCTATTCCGCTTAGACGACAGTCAAACTCATTAGTGTTAGCGTTGGTGACATGCCTGACAATGTCCCAATGACAATGGCCCTTGAGAACACTGAAAAGCAATCACCAGTATGAATGAAATCAGTTAACCAGCAAACCAATTTTGTTCGTGAACAGTCAGCAAAACTTGCTAAAGCATTGCTAAACCATGCACAATAGCAATGGCGAGCCTCCAGCCTCATATGAGACCTTCAGCTCTACACAGCCATATAGCTTATACTGCAAACAACACATATATAGGGTAGTAAGCAAAATAGTCCAGCCTGAAGCGATAGAGCTTAAATAACGCCTAAAACCTATTGTCTAATGTCGGAATACAATCACATAGACCACTAAGATCATTTTTGTCGCATTTGTGGGATTTTCATTTTTCCGACTTTTCAGACCCTGAATTAGTTGTAGTATCCCTGAAATATCAGAACAAACTCAAAATACTACATGTATCTACAGAGAGATAATATAATAGTATCCAGTATAGTATTTTTAATCAAATTAATCATGTTTTGTAATAGCAATATTCTATTTATATATTTGAATGCAAAATTCAACTATCTCTCTTTCAATCGACAATAGATTCATATTCAAATGACCTTCACTATTATAATATACTTAATAGTTCTGATTGGTTCATAATTACATTAAATAAAATTATCGTCCTTTGATTGGTTGATTGAAAAAAAAAGTAGATTTTATTATTTGATTGGCTATAGTTTTCTGAATAGAATTTTTATTTTTTTTTTTTGTATTAAGGCAATGATAATATATTCAAGCTGTAACATCACTGATCAAGTAGTGATATAAATCGTTTAAAAGGTGCTTCAAACCTACCATAAGTGTATAATATATCATCAATGTGTTCATATCTCTTTGTTAAACATTGGATACTACTATTTATGAATTTCATGGTAACTTATCAACAAACTAGTAAGTACCATTGAAATTTCATTCTTGTTTAATTGTTTTTATTATATCTTTTTCATTTCATCTTATCCATATGGATTACATTCGAATATAATGATTAAAATATTTCATTATTTATATTTATTATATTCAATTTTCATATGACATTTGATGTGCATTAAACAAATATGTATCTGGGTTTGAAAAGCTTGTCTGGATTTTGACATATTACATCTATCAATTGAGGGAAGAGTATACTGCACAGCAGTTTGTTCTGTTTTATTTACCTCTGTGAAACATGGTCATTAAGAGTAGAAAGACATTCGTAAGCTACTAGTATTTGACTACAAATATCCTAGAAATATTGCTCACATCTGCTGCAATCATCAGGTAAGTAATAGTAAGGTTAGACACAAGATATTAGGGAATGATGGCAAATCAGTTGATGAGGTTGTCAATCTTCATCGACTGAGATGGTTGTGTCATGTGTTACGTATGCTTGAACACGGATTACCATGACATGCATTACTGATTAGTGTTTCGGGAATGACTGGAAGAAAGTTAAGGGTGGCCAAACCAAAACGTGGCATCAGTGCTTGAAGTCATTAACTTCTAATCTGAGCCATGTTGGTAGATTCAGACTGCCTGGTTGGGGTCCGCGTGACTATCATAACCAATGATTGGAAACTCTATGTAACATGGCTCAGAATCGATCACAATGGCGTAGATGTATGCATTCCCTGTCTTCCTTCAAACCGTGAGATTAAAATTGCTTTATATCTTACCTTCTACCAACTAATTCTTTCTTCCTGTACGATATCCTTATACACATTCTTTTTTTATATATTAACACCACTGAATTAACTACTTCTATGAATGTGGTGTTCATCTTGTTATGCTAATGTGGTGTGGCAACTTGGATCGATGTATATGTGTGCCTGGTCCTACGTTGTAGCTGATTGACTGACATAATGGAGTGTACGTAGTTTCTATTCTGTCAAATGATTTGCTATTAGAAATATTGATAGCTTTAATAAAAACATCTAAGTACTCTTAATAATACTATGAGCGTCTGAGACTATTGTTTTGAACGTAAATAAATGGAAAGCTTAAATTTAGATGATTTAGTTTGTTGTAAAGCCAGTTTTTCCTAGTCGACCAACTTCTTGATTTTAAATAGATTTCTTCTTTCCATATTTTGTTTTCTTTGTGCTTCTTATTCGTTAGCTTGAACAAGAATTCTAAGAAACTGGCCAAAGATACTTTATTGTTTGAACGTAATAGTCAGTTTTAGATGACCTAATAACTAACCCAATTAGTAATTAGTACCTGATGTTCTCATGAGAATAATCACTAACTTGTGGTTATTGACCATTTAGTTTTGAAAGACTTTACAGCAAACGTCATTCTTTTTTTCAGTCACATGTATAGTTATTTCGATCAATGACCACGTGAATCAATTATGTCCACTGCGAACAGGCCAAAGGTTACCTATTCCGCTTTCATGACAGTCAAACTGAATTCAAAACATGTGAATTATTCATAAAATGATTAGTTTTGTGTGAAGCTCACTTTGTATTCCTTCTAAATAGTTCACAATTTAAATTTTGAGTCAATCTAGTTTCTGATCAGTTAGTTAGTTCTGAATATCAGAATGTGCAAAGTCTTCTAATTGTTTCGAGTTTGCAGCGTGCTGAGATTTCTAGTCATCTCATCAATGAAATCAGTAAATCTTGAATTGAATTCGTTTCCAATACAGAAACAATAATTCGTAAAACCAGATTATGAGCACTTAATTTGAATTCTGCTGCTGATTAGGCTTGCTTTTCAGATTCTCTTCAGATGATCCATAAAATGCCAAGTAAATTCGAGCTACTAATTATTTGAAATGTTGTTGTGTTTCAGCTCACTTTAAAAATGATCAACCTATTCCTGTGAATCAGAATAATGTTTTGATTCCACATGAACAACAAGTTTACAGGTACATCATGAACAATTATGAGTCATCTGTAAGACCGTTGAAAAACATATCCGAAAAGTTAACAGTGGAGATACGTATACGTTTACAACAAATCAGTGGTTTGGATGAGCGCAATCAAGTATTGACAACTATACTATTCCTTGAGCAGGTAAGTTGTTATAACTTGTCACCTGTGTGCCCTGTTAATGTATAACGTAATGACACCGTCAATTGGAGAGCAGTGAATAATCGTTCGAACCAAGGACGCCTGAAACCCTTGCGAACAGTCTAGAGTCCTTATTGGTGCTGCTTCCTGCCTAGCCCAGCCAGTTAATTTCAGAACACCAATCTCAGCCTCTGTGATATAAATCATGTATTTCAAACACACTGGGTTTATAAACAAAGAAGACTTATTTTTGTGTGACTATAAATCTTGATTAACGCGTAGTCAGATAGAATTGGCTTCACTCTCTTCTTTCCAGTTACTTTGCTTCTTCCTTCTGATTGCCTGCCCATATCAATGAGTGCATGAAATATACATATTCAAAATTCATCCACGTATTTGGCTCATTCAATTCAGTTATTCATTGACGCGGATTAAGTCGATGATTATATACGAGGATAGACTATATGTGTACTTCCATGACATTTATACAACGCAATTGGAGTCGGATCCCGGGCAACGAAAGGAGACACGACGCCTCGTAGTGAAAGCTGAGACTTTGGAAGTCACAAAATCAGTAGCTCTTTTGACAACTAGGTCAACAATAAAAAATAGGAGCGTAGAATGTCCGGACAATGTGGTAGACTGAAATCCTCTTTCAAATAGCTGTGGAAACGAGAAAATGCAACTTAGATGAAGTCAAACTCATAGGACCCAATCTGGGCATAAAAGAATATCTTCATGAGGAGTGTTGGTATTTTCTGGTCATGAAAAAGGAAATCCTTTACTCGCATAACTGGTTGCACTGATATCCTAATCTCAAGACAAAGATTTGAGGTCAAATATTCGCAATATGGAAGCTAATTCTGAAGTCCTACTCAGTGCCTTCTCGTGATATTACTGTCGTTTACGAAGTTGACGACGAGCAGCGAATACCCAGCGCTTTGACCGAGTTGGCGGATATAGTGGTTCCACATAGAAGAATTGGATAACCCTAATATAGACCAACGGCGCACATGTGCTCCAGTATCTTAAAGGAACAAATGGGGTGTGAACCCTTAAAAAACCACCTACTTCGGTCTGGGCACACGAACAGCAAACACACAAGTATAATGAAATGATATTTACGAAAAATACTATTCTTGATTCGATTAACAGTCAAACGATTCACATTATTATTATTAATATTATTTCTATTATTATTATTAATAATAATATTATTATTATTTACTACATCACTTATTCACTCTCTTTCATTCCCACTTTGTGTATTCTTATTTTTCGACTTATAAAGCAGCTTGCCTATAGTGGAAATTCTGTCCTATCCAAACGATCTCAAGTCACTGCTAGCTGGTCGAAAGCTGAATGCTACCACCGACTACGAATACTGAAACAGTCTTTCTGAAACCACGTATGCAATTCAAACTAGCCTCCTTCAACGTTCGCACACTAATTCAGATCGGGCAAGAGATAAGGTTGGCTGTCTTTGGAAAGTTTTAATATCAACGTCTGACGTCTATTCAAGACTCTACTGAAATACTACAAATTCGCTCTCCATCTGTCGCTTCAAAAAGCTTGTTTTATGTTCGTTTATCCGGGGACCCTGTGGCATCTTCGTCTGGTCTTGCTGGCGTTGGTGTCGCACTAAGCGCTACAGCTCAGACAGCACTGATCGATTGGATCCCCGTTAACTGTCGGTTATGTGCTGTTAGATTAGAAAGTTCTATCAAAGTGAGAAGAAATCGGCGTGAGAAACGATGTCTTTTCGTCATCGCCTGTGCCCCGACAGATTGCAGCCCAGATGAAATCAAGAATGAATTCTACAACCAGTTAACTGTTCTTCTCCAGAAAGTGCGTCCGTCAAATATTGTAGTACTAATCGGAAACTTAAATGTTCAGGTCGGGCGTCTAGGCACAGAAGAGAGTCGTTTAGGTGGCCGATGGGGACTTGTTGGTCGCAGGACAGATAACGGTGGCCGTCTACTGCAACTGTCCACAGACCACAACCTATTTCTGGCTAGCACAAACTTTCGGCACAGTCATCACCGATGTGCTGTCTGGCATCCTCCCTCTGCATCTCAAGCCCGGACTCGGATTGACCACATCGCGATCAGCTATCCTTGGTGTGGTTGTGTACACGAGTGCAGTCATTCTGTCAGTTGTAATGTGGGACCAGGCACACATATGTATCGGTTCAAGTTGCCACACCTCATTCGCACAACAAGATGAACACTACATTCATAGAAGTAGTTAATTCAGTGGTGGTAATATAAGAAAGATTGTGTGTAAAAATATCGTACAGGGAGAAAGAATCATTTCGTAGAAAGAAAGGCTGTCTGGGCATGATGGGTAGTTGTAGAGTCGCTGAAGGTCAGCTGAACTGCTCCTTAAAGTGTTTTGCCCATTCTTCTAAACGTCTGGGCTGATGCAGGACTACTGCTTCCTTTGGAGTACCTATCTTTACTCTGATCATGCCCTTGTTTGTGGTAATCTTACCTTCGTCCTATATGGATCGGTGTCAGTAAATTAGTTTCAGCTTCTGTTACGACTAAATATCAAAGCGGACTACGTTCAAGGCCAGCTACCATTCCACCGAGAAGTATAGATGAGAATTGGTTGCAATTGCATGACGCTATGGAAATGTCGAATAAAGTCGCTTGTGAGTTCGCGAAACATTCCGGAAACAGCTTTAGTGGATGTAAGTAATGGCAGTGTGGATCTGTTGCCTGGAGAAAGACCTCTCGATCTTGAGTATGCGGGTGATATTTTCTTGCTGTGGATGATATGCAAGCCATGCAATCCACACCTAATCAGTCGGCAATTGGTGACCGTAGGTATGACATCTGCTTTGTGCCTTTGAAGTGAAAAGTATTTGTACAAGATTGACAGGACCCTGACCCTACACTCACTCTGGGTAGTGAGCAGATAGAAATAGTCGAGAAGTTCGTGTATCTGGGTAGCTGCATAAGTGCTGGTGGTGGCGTGAGTGATGAGATCAATGCTCGTATAGTGAAAGCCAGAGCGGCTTAAGCCAATCTGGGCCATCTTTGACGCCTTCATGATGTCAGTCTGGCTGTAAAAGGTCGGATCTACAACGCATCGATGATAGCAGTTTTGCTCTGTGCTTGTGAAACCTGGCCTCTCCGAGTTGAGGATGTTAGACGACTTTCTGTGTTTGATCATCGTTGTTTCCGAAGGATTGCTGACATCCAGTGGTAACACCATGTTAGTAATGCAGAGATTCGGCATCGTGTATTCGGGCACAGAGACGATAATCCAATTGGTGTCACCATCTTGAAACATTGACTTCGTGGGCTTGGACATGTTCTACGAATGTCGCCCCAGAGAGTTGCACGTCGTGCATTATTTTCCGACTCTGAGACTGCTTGGAAAAAGCAGAGAGGTGGTTAGTGTATGGCCGTACCTTACACTAAACTGTTCTTTTCTTTTTTTACTTATACGCACCTTCTTTTTTTCTTCCCATTCTTATTGTTTTGTGTGGTCCGTAAATATCTGCTTCCCCCTTGTAGCAATATTTATGTGTTCAAATAAATAAATAAATAGTCTCGCTCGCGAGCGCTAATTGTGGTGTTTCTACTGGGTCTGGACACAGCAAAACTAGTCCTGGATACTCTACAAACAGATATCGTTGGTGTGGTTGCGTGCAGGACTACTATTCGTTTAGAAGTACCTATCTAGATTCTAATCATGCCCTTGTCCATGACAGCATAAACTCATCAGTTTAAAAGGATTAAAAATAACTTCCAATCAAAAATATTACACATATAACTTTGCGGGAAATCAGTAACGAGGACGCTTACCGCATATAGGCATTTGAAACGAATATCCCACACCGCCTTCTTACATGTAGTGTTGAGGCTAACCCTAAGGTGGAAGGGCATTCACAGTTTAATACTGATTTCAACGTTGATTTGGGAGAAGCACCCAGAATTCCGAAAGGAAAGTGGGCGCATGAGGACAGGAATACGTTGTCTTTATTATTAATAGTGTCGATTTAGCCTAAATTGATATTAAGCACTTTAATGGACAGCCTGTTGAGTAACACCATTTTGTTAGGGAGCTTACTAGCTTCATAGTATGTAAATTGTCCAATGAGAGTCAACAGTAACCATATTTGCTGTACTGTAATGAACGAGAACACAGGTGGGGACAACCAGTGTAATTTAATCCAAATTTACAGAATATCTTATTAAAATATGAAAACCATACGCTGAATACTTCATTCGCGAATTCCCCTCATTTATCCTTCACATTCTGTATTATTATTCTTCTAGTTCATAATTCCTTTCTATTTTCCCTTCTGTTCTCTTCAACTCGATTTTCACTTCCGATTGCTGTTACATACTTCTAATGTATGTCGACATAAGCAACATACACCAAAATACTACTGTAAAGGATAAGCCAGGACAGCCATTGAAACTTGCATCTCCTTGCCTTGTAGTTTGGATTATGACAGAGTGAGATAGATTCTGCATGATGTATCTTGAAGGGAACGTCTGATTACCCGTGAACTAAGTGTAAATTGACTCAATCGTAAATCTGTTTGGTGCTCAGTAGATGATATGGCTGACTTCACAACCAAGTTACGTAACGCATATAACACTGAGACAAGTGGGATGTGTGTCCGATGTAAACTATGCAGCTAATATGGAAATAATTGTGTCACGTTTACCACGGGATTTACAGGATAGGTGGGAAGAGGTTGTCGACAAAACCATGATGGCAGTTGTATATCATGTTCTTTTTAAAATCTCTGGAACGTGGCCTGTAATAGTCACAGTTCATATAGTGTGTATAATGTTTTGGAATGTTAACTGATCTAATCTATAACATTATTATTTATATTTTCTTATAGATATGGGAAGATGAGTATTTAAAATGGAATGAACCGGAATTCGGGAATGTAAGAACTTTGCGTGTACCAGCTGAGCAAGTATGGACTCCAGATACTTATGTATTTAATAAGTAGGCAAATTTTCTAAATATGATTTTTCATAGTAAATAAATAATACACATAGGAAAATTTTCAGTGAGTTTCTAGTTAATGCCTGTCTTTACTGAACACCAATTCCCTAAAATTTGTTAACCTAATTTCATGGGACTGCATCTCCTGACGCTGCTCCACTGACTTGTGGATTAGACCTAGATCAAAGGCTCCAAATGTGACCCCTTAAGAAAACCAACTGTTTTGATTTGGACACCTGGACAGTATCCCAACCGTCACACAAATCGGATAACTTATGACTTAGTAGAATTCTGTATTTTGTTTTGTTTTGTTTGTCACAACTATGAGTTTGTCAATTCAATGTAATTACATGTCAGTTTGTATATTTTATTAATGGGACTTGGCCCATATATTCTGTAATTGTAAACAAAAAAATATTTATTAATCACTAAACTGATAAGTGACTCATAGTCATGCGCACTTCTGAAGAGTCCCACACTAAAAGGAAACGGTCGTCTAGTGCTTCCAGGTTTTCCATGATGGTCTAGCTTCAATTGACTCATGAATTCATCTAATAAATTACTATAATATCCACAAAAACCCTCTGTGATTATAATCATCTTATGCTCCAAGAGGTGTATCCCGGAATTCTAGTAGAGTTCAACCGGGTCTGTAGTGAGATATTTATATATATATATAATCATGTAGCAAGCTTTAAAATATTGACCAATTAAATAACTGTTGACTCTATTAACAACGTGCGGAGAAGATTTGTAGCTCAGGTGAATGATTTTGATGAAGTTTTGTTCTCTGAGCTCGATGGTTTGGTTGAGGAGCTTTCATTATTCATCTAAACGACATCATCAGCACCAAACCATTCATCTCAAAGAACAAAACTTCATCAATAATCAAGTGTACTTATCAAACTATAATTTATTATTTTTTTTTTTATTACAGTGCTGATCATACAAATTCTGGTTTTTTAGAAGGTGTCTATGTTTTAATTCATAGTTCTGGTAAAATATCATGGCCAATTCCAGTTCAATTAAAAACATCATGTAAAGTTGATATTACATTATTTCCATTTGATCATCAATATTGTGAAATACAATTTGGATCATGGATGTATACATCTGATTGGATTAAATATAAATTTCAAACAAATCAATACAATAAATCAATAATAATGAAAAATTGGAAATACTCTACAAAATTATTATCTCCTTTAGTATCATTATTGTCAAATACGTCGAATCAACATTTAAGTATAGAAAGAAGAGATCATGACGAACCAAGACAAGATGATGTTGATAATAATAATAATAATAATAATTTTGAGGAAGATTATCTGACTAGAAATGCATTGGATACATCATCTTATTGGGATAGTACAGATTGGATGCTAAAACATGCTATATTATCTTATACTCATCGATCTACTGATATATTGACTGTTTGGAAACCAACCACAAGTATATTAAACATTCAATTTCATGATAAAAAATTAGATACTAGACAAACTGACTTAGTATTGAAATTATACTTACAAAGAAGAAGTTTTTTCTACGTTTGGAATATTGTTATACCATGTATACTATTAACATTGCTTACATTAATCACATTTTGGACACCGATTAATTCAGGTGAAAAAATTACTTTGGGTTTATCAGTATTTTTAGCATTTTCTATGTTTATGATGTTGATAGCTGAACGTGTACCGCCAACAGCCAAAAATATTCCACTTATAGGTGAGTAATATTGATTTGTTTTCATTTCTATTCCTGAGTATCAATTTAAAAAGTACTTTTAGTACCTGTTTGGATAGCATCAGTGAAACTCTTTGTGTATGTGGAGCATTTTCTTCTTTATGACCAGAGTATAGCAGAAGCTCCCTTGAAGCTAGTTGTTGTTGTGTGTTTCACTGATTCCAAGCAACTCCAGGTTATATTGCTTTATTTCTGTAGCAATTCGGAAAACTCTCCCGATCTTTCACATTATGCGAGCATTCCATATGCCTAAATTAATGGTTTCTCTGGTTCAGAAGAAGCATCAGCCTTGTGACTTCGGAAAAAACTCAATTTTTATCATGAGGCGTCATAACTTTTTTAAAATGAAGACCTTCTAACTCTCGGGACAGAGTTTAAATGGTTTGAATTATTTTTCCTGGTTAGTGTTTTTTAGCAAGTTAGTTTTCTGCGGGATCGGGTCGCTAACCCTATGCCGAACCCTACTCCTTTATCTGGGCTTTGGACTGGCAGAAACCCCAGGGGTGCTCCAGGCGTACTTATAAAGTGTGACATTTTATAAATAATGTAAGTAACTTAGTGGTTTTTAAAGATTCACACACTCTACACATATTATTGAAGTTTATTTAGGTGTGAATAGTCCACCAGGGTGCTTGGTACCTGTGTGGTTGCGTCACATGATTGAGCCGTACCATTCAGATTGTAGCATTGAAGCCTATATGGTGTCTGGTTATCCTGTGAAGCGGGATTGAGCTGTACTATTCGGGTTATAAAATTTAAGCCTGAATGGTATCTGGTTCTCCTCTAAATTGGATTGAAGTTTACTGTTTGGATTTTCACGTGGAAGTCTGGATGATGTCTGGTTCTCCTGAAAACCAATGTAAAATTACACTGACGCACAAGTGTATTTTACATAACTATAATAACTGTATTCAGTAGTAAACGCATTTCTATTTTCTACAGTATTCTTTACTAGGCGGTTTAATTGTTGGCTACATATACAGAAAGCCGTAAAGATGTTCCTATTGAGTCAGTGTACAGAAATGCATAATAAAAAAATGTTGGTCCATAATGTTATAAAATATTCCAAATGAGTCATGGAAACTTTGAATTACATAAGAGAATTATGTCGTCAGTGTCAGTGACGTCAGTAAAGACATGAGCTTTGGAGTAGCTTCAGTTGGAGTTGATATGTTATTGGAAGCTTCGACAACATACTTATTGCTTTTTGTTATTTTTTCGACAGCGTTCTACATGATAAACGTTTATTTCATTGATATTTCAAAGCGTGGAATTGTACCATTACCATTATTTTTATGTAAAAATATGTTTCTAACCATATTCAATTAGTCGTCTTTTATTTCCTATATGTAGGAGTATATATGACTTCAGTAATGTCAATAACAACTGGAACAGTTGTTGTGTGTGTAATTGTCATTAATTTAGACGCCAAAGGTGAGAAGCTATCACGTGCACCAAAATGGTTGCGTCGTATCACACAGTTTAGTTTATTTCAATTATTCTACAAGGAAAATTATTGTAATGTGAATGAATCAGCAGCTGTTTCATCGTTAGTAAGTCATAGTTGTTTTCATTTGATGATTAGATGCATAATTAACCTTTTAAACATTATCTGCTTATAGCTAATAGATAAAAAGTTAAAGAGTGATCAAATTATTGTCATTAAACAGTTAATTTAATGCCTAGAAACGCCTTCGAGCTACTTCTGGTCCCAAACTCGGATAAAGGAGAAGGGTTGGGAAAGGGTTTGGCGACCCCATCCCGTAGAATACTAACTCGTTAACAAACGCTAACCAGGAAAAAATCATTCAAACCATGAAATATTTTAATAGACAAGAAAATAAATCCAGCGGTTTCTTACCAATCGTTATGTATTATGGTGTTGAGTCATTCATTGTACTGAGTATATTGTAGCTTGATCAATGGGTGTGAATGGGAACTAAGAGTCATTCGAACATAAGTAATTAACTTTTAATCAAAGTCGAACCTTGGACAGTAGTCGAACCCATGACGCGCATTTCTTCCTATTTCAGATTCATCAGCTGACTACACTTGTATTTTTGTGTTGATGTTTACTACAGCGATCGAACCCAGTGTTTTTCGCTCCAAACGCCAACACGTTATCCACTTAGCTATTGAGTTTCAATAGCCCCTGACTTACACATTTGGTCTGAGACTGGTCAATATTCAGTCATTAACATGAACAACGGTAAGATCGAATTCGTCACAAATGAATTATATTTCAAAACAGTGGCTATTGGAACTCAGTAGCTAAGTGGATTAATTGTTGACATTTGAAACTTAAGACACTGGGCTCGATTGCCGTAGTAAAAATTAACACAGTAATAGAAGTATACTCAGATGACGAGTCTCACATGGGACTGTACTTCTATTCTGTAAATAAATTATCTGGTTTATCTAATGATGTCATTCTTGCGAACTCATTCATATAAACAGAGTTTATTATTTCAGTTAGAGAATTTCATTGCACGAAGTTTGATTTGTGTTAGATATATTTAAAATTATAAATCCACTGACAAAATGAGATATTTAAAACTAACATGAAGTTAGAATTTTTGCTTGATTCACATGTACTACTCATATTACAATAGTAATAAACAATTTAATAATATCAATAGTTGAGATCATGAGTCGATTGAAGCTACACAACTATGGAAAACCTGGAAGCACTGGACGGCCATTTCGTCCTCTTGTAGGACTCCTCAGCAGTGGGCATCCCCAAGCCCACCTCACGAGATTCCAACCCAGGACCTGTCTCAAGCGCGAGCGCTTAATCACCAGACCACTGAGCTGAACGATATCCAACGGCGTCTATGTCTGACTTCAACTAATCCACGAAATTGAGAGACACATCCACTATTGTCATCAGTGAGTTACTATCTCCCAATAGACCCGGTTGAACTCCATTGGTCACTGCTTCTCACTAGAACTTCAGGATATACATCTTGAAGCTAGTCACTAGTGAGCATATGTTGATTAGTATCAGAAGGGGTTTTGTGGAGATTGACTCATAATCTCAACTATTGAAATTACTACAATCTTCACAAAACCCCTTATGATACTAATTTAATAATAATTATTATAAACAACGTTAAAATTTTTGTAGTGAAATATTTTAAAGTATTTTCTGTCAAAACTATAATTTGTAAACGAACCAATCAGGTTTCGGATTTTGGCGCGAAATTCACTCATCCATTTAGCTAAATAAACTTTTGGCATTATAACTGATATCAGTTCTTAATGAAAACCCTAAATGTAACCTTAATCATCAATTATAAATCATCATTCTAATTCCTTATACACAGGTATATAACGCTTTATCTGATCCTAGTTACTAGGTGAACATAACTCAAGTTGACTTTAACATCATTCAAAAATCATCCATAAATTTTAGTTTCATTTAATTGTCTCTTTTTTTTTTTATTTTAGATAGAGAAATTTTCAAATTTAAATTTGGTTCAAGAAAAAAAATTGTTAGAAATTAATTCTCAAATCAAACTACTTACAAAATTAAACGATTTACTTTTAATCAATAAAAGTTTAAACAAAGAAATTAGATCTATCTGTTATAATTATTTAAAGAAATCATATTTAATGAATGAATTTTCATTGAATGAAACTTCTTCCAGTCCTATCTATTATCATAATATTATTGTAAATGAATCTAATCATCATGGAACTTTAACAGATTTATCAAAAATAAAACCATCATCAACTATTCAAAGTACAACATTGAATAGAACCAATATAAGTCCTCAGATTCATAAAGCGTATAAAGTTTATTCTTCTATAAAACAGGATTGTTTACTGAAAAATGATCTATCATCATTATCATCATCATCATCATCATCATCATCATCATCATCATCATCATCATCATCATCATCATCATCATCATCATCATCAATACTAAATCCTACTACTTGTAATGTTCATAGTAATAATGACCATTCTCCAAGTGTATATAAATTGAATTTTAAAAGTCATGAAGATGTTAGAAATGAATTAATTAAATATGAATGGAAGGTGATAGCTAAAATAATAGATAGATTATTATTTATTACTTTTGTTGTTATCACATTAATTTGTTATATAACCATTTTTTTATGGCCTTTAATATCTGGTTCTACTATTTTATATCGAAAAAATTATTAAGTCAAGATTAGCTGTTACCTACTTACTTACTTACTTACTTACTTACTTACGCATGTTACTTCTCGTGAAGGAGTATAGGCGACCCACTAGAATTCTCTATTCAACCCTGTCCTGGGAAATCCTTTTCACTTCTTTTCGATCGCTATTCATCCTTTTCACATCTACTTCTATTTCACGTTGTAATGTGTACTTTAGCCTTCCTCTTTTCCACTTCCCTTCAGAATTCTAAGTACGGGCTTGCCTCGTGGTGCAGTTTCGTGATTTTTGTAATGTATGTCCTATCCATTTCCAACGTCTTTTCCTAATTTCCTCTTCAGCTCGAAGCCGGTTTGTTCTGTGTCACAGAATCGTGTTGCTGATGGTATCCGGCCAATGGATGTTGAGTATCTTGCGTACACAACCATTGATAAATACATGTACCTTCTTGATGATGGTTGTAGTAGTTCTCCAAGTTTCAGCTCCGTACAGTAGGTCTGTTTTGACGTTCGTGTTTAAGATTGTGACTTTGATAGTGGTTGACAGTTGTTTTGAGTTCCATATATTCTTCAATTGTAGGAATGCTGCCCTTGCCTTTCTAATCCTCGCCTTTACGTTTTCATCCGATCCTGCTTGTTCATCGGTGATGCGTCCCAGATACGTGAAAGATTTCACATCTTCCGGAGTTTCACCATCAAGTGTGATTGGGTTGGTATTCTCGATGTTGTATTTGAGGATGTTGCTTTTTCCTTTGTGTATGTCGAGGTCTACTGATGCAGGGGCTGCTGCTACACTAGTTGTATTCATCTGCATTTGTTCGTGTGTATGGGTTAGGAGGCCTAGGTCATCTCTGAAATCCTAATCGTCTAATTAGTTATGATATGTCCATTGTATTCCGTGCTTTCCCTCAAATGTTGAGGCCTTCATAATCCAGTCAACCACCAGAAGAAAGAGGAAAGAGGAGAGTAGACAGCTTTGTCTGACTCCGGTTCTTACTTGGAATGGATCTGTCAACTGTCCTCCATGCCCGACTATGCACTGTAGTCTGTCGTATTAACTATTAACAATTTAACCTTTGTGATCATATTATTATTATCTCTTTCATATGTAATTAACTATTTCAAGTGATATTACAGTTTTCGAGATGGTGGAGAAGTTTTGTAGCTCAAGCTGATGATTTTGATGGAGCTCGGAGAACAAAACTCCATCAAAATTACAGTTTTCTTCCCTATCATCATATGAAATTAGATGTTCAGACTAATACTTCTTCTTCAAAATTCTAATTGTAACATCGATTTTCATTAATGATTGAATTCTATTCTTATTCAGTCTATATTGTTACATAATTTTTAACTCTGCAATATCTCAATTCTTCAGAGATTTATTATATTGTTAAAGGAGTCAAACATACTGTTTTTATATTGTCTGCTTGAAACACCGGTCTTTAATATTTTACGTCTCATGTTAAGTCATTCTTGATTGTACTTATTTTGCGGTTCACATACCTTCTCTACCGTGCGTCAATTCACTTCGCTTCTCCGATATTTTGTCTGGATCAACAATTGTATGAAATATACGTATTCAAAAATTCATTCTCGTATTTGACTTATTTAATTCGGTTATTAGCTAGCGCTATTTAAGTCCATGATTATATGCGAGAATAGGCGATATATATGTATATATATATATATCGACAGCAATCATTTAATAACGAACATCCATACTATCTAATTGAAGTCATATCCCGGTCCACTGAAAATCTTATGTATAAAAATAGGTTTTTTACTGACAAAAAAAATTACCTATCAACTTGTTTTATCCTTTAATATATATTTTTTATTTCAGACACATTAGAGACTGCTACTTTTGAGGAGACTAAAATGAAAAAAGCCTTTAAAAAATTACAAATAAGTATTCATCATTTATTAAACCATATCACTATTCAACAATGTTGTTACATGATTCACAGCATATGGTATAGAGATTACTTATTTACACTTGTTACTTCTTGTGGAGGAGCACAGGCCACTTAGCAGCATTCACCATTCAACCCTGACTTGGGCAATCCTTTCAAGTTGTTACTCATTCTTTTCATATCTGCTTCTATTTCACGACGTAATGTGTACTTTAACCCTTCTCTTTACCGCTTCATATCAGGATTCCAAGTAAGGGCTTGCCCCTTGATGCCTGTAGCACTTCTTATTTATTTATTTATTTTAACACATAGGTATTGGTACAAGGAAGCACCAAATACATCTGCACCGCACAGATCACATTTGATTTGTGTGAGGGCTGTGATACTGTCCGGGTGCCCAAACCGAAGCAGGTGGTTTTCTTAGGGGGCCACACCCCGAGCCTTCGACCTGAAGATCTGATCCACAAGGTAATGGAGCATCGTGAGGAGATGCAGTCCCATGGTAGCCGGCCAACAATAATTGGTTCATACTCCATTTGTTCCTTCAGGATACTGGAGCCTATGTGCACCATTGGTTTTGGATTCGGTTAAAGCGCCGGAAATTCGCTTTTCGTCCTCTCATTTCCGTAAATAACACCCCCGCCACGAGGAGGCAGTGAGTAGGACTTCCCTGACAGAGGCTGTATACGCGTGGCCATGTGAGAGCATTTGGAGAGGGAGGGCGGGCCCACCCCACTCTCGGCCATACCAGGGCATTTGGGGGCAGTCTGATACCATATGAAAAGTAGTCCACCGAATACTAAGTTGTTGCGACTAACCGAATCTGGAACTCAGTTGAGTGGTTAAGCGTTCGTGCGCGAGACTGATAGGTCCCGGTATTCGGACCTCGCTAGACGGGATCATGGATGCACATTGCTGAGGAGTCTCACAATAGGACGAAACGGCCATCCAGTTCTTCCAGGTTTTCCATAGTGATCTAGCTTCAAGTGACTCATGATCCCAATCAAAAACTTAATGATCTCTACAACCATATATTGAAAATTATATCCCACTAACTGAATATTTACGCAGGTCAAATCTTCTAGTAGTAATATCAATTTACTCAAGATTATTTACAAGCCAGAACACCAGTTGTACAGATAGCATATCGTTCATGATTAGTACAAATCCGTAAGTGTGCAGAATGCAAACATACAGAGAAGCGACTGAGAGTTAAAAAATTCATATATATATATATATATATATATATATATATATATATATATATATATATATATATATATATATATATATATAAATCAATTATATGTAAGTTATTGATTGTCCGTGTTTACAACCAATCGGAGGTAAGGTAATGGTTGATGCGCAGATATGCACTCAATTAGAGTCACACGTAAATTTACTTGGTAGAATAAATGTCTATATTGCAGCGAGTAGACATAATTAAAAAATATTCTATGAGCTTACTATAAGATTGACTTCTTCATCAAAATTCATAGCAAGCTTGTGTGCAACAGTCTAGGGAATTATAAGCAAAGATGGATAGTGGTCAGCAGTGGAATTCAGGACGCGCGTTTCATCTTATTTAGGACTCGTCATTTGGATGTACATGCATCTCAGAGTTGGTGTTTGAAACGAATGGTACTGGGTTCGAGTCCCAGAGTGAACATCAACTTTGAGATGCAAGTACATCCAGCTGACGAGTCCCGAATAGCATGGAACGCGCATCCTGAATTCCACTGCTAGCCACTACTTCTGTCAGTCTGTTCGTAAAATTTAAGTCTTCGTACTACGGTAATTACCTTGATGTAAAACAAAACTTCATTCGCATCTAAATCTGCAGGGAAAGCGAGATGTTTTTTTGGCTAGGAGCGGAAGAGACAAAGGATATTATTCAATTCCTACTTCTACGATTATTTTTCTAACAAAATTTAAAATTTCCGCATTAAAATATTGTTCTTATTGGGGAATGTAATCTTGATCAATGTAAAATGTGAGAAATCATGTATATGCATTTTTGAGAGATTCGGTACAAATTAAACAACGCAGCTATTAACTTCATTTTCAGTTCCAGTAGAAATCGTTTACCTTCGTCCTAACACTATTCCACTGGTGGTTATAACTTTTTTCTAAAACACCTTACTTAAAACTGAGACAATAAAAAGGAAACTTATTTGTCATTTAATTGTTTGTTTAATTATTTTTTAAAATCAGGAATAAAGTAATCTATGACTCAAAACTATCTACTAAAAAAATAACCGATTTTTTCTGATACGATCTTATGATAGGTCTCTCTAACACCTTCCCCCTCTCAAAAAATTAAACTTCCTCGGGACTATTTGCAGTTTAATGACTGGTTTCCGGCGGTGTTCGGACTTCATTGGTGTCCAGCCATTATGAGTGTCCCTGGGAGTTCTTGTCATTGGAGTATCTGTAATTATCTCTGGTGGAAGACTTACTCCTCTTTCTACCGTGTTCAGAGTCTTTTTTCTCTGTGGATTTAGTTCATGTGTCTAATCTACATTCCAAACATCCCACACACCTTGTACAAAACATTTTTTATTCTCTTTCCGAAGACTCCAGGTTCCCACCGGTTTTTTCCAAAGTATGACTTGATGACTACTTTATCTCCCACGTTAAAACTTCGGATAATTTAATGTTATCTGCGTTTATCCACTGATTTAGATGGCAACATGGCGTCAAATATAGTTTGAATACTTCTTCCGAACATATAGTCAGCAGGGGACTTTCCATCTGGGACAATATTATTGGATATAGTTTTATAAGCTGTTAAGAATTTTGTGATTACTCGACTTGTTTCCTTTGTTGAGTAATGCTATTTTAAATGTATCAACAAAGCGCTCTATCTGTCCGTTTGATTGATGGGGATAGTGTGGGAAGCGTATATGTGTCATTCCATTAATGCTCCAAATGTGCTTGAATGATTCTGAAGTGAATTGTGATCCATTGTCGATCAATAAAGTCTCCGGAACTCCGAAAGAGCTAAACCATTCAGATGACTTGCTGATTGTTTCACTAGCTGTGTAATTTGTCATAGCATAAATTTGCCGTCATTTCGTGAATGGATCCACTACGATTAAAATCACTTTTCTTTTTACTGTGCCGGTAAAATCTTCATGCACCTTCTCCCAGGGACTATTGGGCTTTTTCTTTTGTTGTGGTTCATATTTCTTTGAAATTTTGGCTGCTTGTAGGCACAATGAACAATTTAGGCATCTAGTTTTGATATCTTGATCCACTGTAGGTCAGTAAGCATAGGTTCAAGCCAAAGATTTCATCTTATTGATATCCGCATGGCCGCTATGGACTTGTCTCGAAACATTTTGGCGTAATGTTTTTGGAACAACATTTCTGTTATGGAACATAATACATGAATCGACAATCATGAGTGAGTCCCGCTGGCGAAAATATAGTATCAGTTCTCCTCGAAAACACTGGTTCGGACACTTGATGAGAAGGTAACCACTAACTTCTCTTAGTGTTTTGTCATCTTCCGTACCTTCTTCGATAGCTTGGAAAATAATTGGTAGACTATCAATTGACTCTTCCAACACTCGGTATACTTCTATTTCCGTCTACATTGCTGTTATCAAAACATCTACCCCTTTCACTTGAGAACTGATCAATCCAGACAAGACGTCAACTTGTCCAAAATTAGTAGTACGTCGTAACCCAAGAATTCGGTTTCTTATAGTTGTGGTCTGTTTGCTGTTATACCAGGATCCTTTTCTTCGACCCAAATATGGTCAGCATTAGCTTAAACTGGAGTCCAAATATCATTTCGTGGAACTTCTTTACAGCGAAGACAACTGACAGCGCTTCCTTTGCGATCCGACTGTATATAAGTTCTGCTGTAGTTAACGATCTATCTGCATGTGATATGGCTTTCTCAAATCCATCGGGTATGATGCGAGATATAATTGCTTCAATGCCGTAATTTGAAGCATCTGATGCCCCCAAATGCCCTGGTATGGCCGAGAGCGGGGAGGGTTCGCCCTCCCTCTCGAAATACTCTCACACGGCCACGCCTATACAGCCTCTGCCAGGGAAGTCCTACTCACTGCCTTCTCGTGGCGGGGGTGTTGTTTACGAAAATGAGAGGACGAAAAGCGAACGTCCGGCGCTATAACCGGATCCCAATTCTATGGTGCACATGGGCTCCAGTATCCTGCGGGAACAAATGGCGTATGAACCAACTTTTGGTCACCGGCTTCCATGGGACTGCATCTCCTCACGATGCTCCACTGCCTTGTGGACTAGACCTTTAGGTCAAAGGCTCGGGGTGTGGCCCCCTAAGAAAACCACCTGCTTCGGTCTGGGCACCCGGGCAGTATCCCAGCCCACTCACTAAAACTATGATGAACAAATTGCTTATGGAAAATATTCCTTTCTATCTGATTAACATTGAAATAACTCGTACTATTATTATTATTATTGTTATTATTATTATTATTATTATTATTATTATTATTATTATTATTATTACTCTACCACGTCATTTATTCACCCTCTCTTATTCCTACTTTATATATGCGTTTCGACCTAGACAGCAGCTCACCTATGGTGAAAATTCAGCTTTATCTAAACGTTCCCGAGTCACTGCCTGGTTGAAAATTGTATGTTACTATCGAACATGAGTACTGAAGCAGTTTTTA